CATTAGCTCCATCCCACAGATGTCCAGTCAAATTTCTTTTTCGTTTGGGGAAAGCCCATGCCCGTAGTTGAGCTATTCGGAGAGCAGCCCCCCTTGAATATTTATAATATTTAAAAGTAATTTGGAAACTAGACAAAGATAACATAAATTTTATGGTTCCCAGGGTGGCATTGATTATGGTCCATCGATTTCCATATATATCCCTTTTAGGGTTAGTCTTATACCACATTTGCTGACTGAACACCTTCACATATTTTTGGAAATCGTTAACTCTAAAAACATAGGGTGGGGCATACTGCAATAGGGTACAGGTTACATCAATGGTCACGGGAATTGTGTGAATACAATTAAAATTTCTTGAGGTTGAACAGAGCCTTTGGGTATATATTTGACCCCCTTTTAACTGGGTGACTAAATAACAAAAGGGACCTTTCCCTGTTGAGGTGTTACAAACCCCGGGGATGGCCATCATGTCAACCCCTCGTTGCCACAAAAAAAAACCCCGTTGCCCCTATTCCTGTGGTATACCCAGACATCAGTAAGCCTGTATACTCTTCTGAAACCCACTGGCCAAGACCCTCCCATCTTAGTAATTTGTCGGAATTTTGTAAAGATACTCTGTTTCTTAATATCCAAAATAGGTCTTATGAATGAACTATTGAGTGGAAAACAAATGGAATGGTGGAGATAGAAACTTTTGACATCACCACCAGGAAACCCAAGAAATCTGAACTTACCATCCTGGGATTTTATAGTGGGGTAGACATGATGGCCATCCCCGGGGTTTGTAACACCTCAACAGGGAAAGGTCCCTTTTGTTATTTAGTCACCCAGTTAAAAGGGGGTCAAATATATACCCAAAGGCTCTGTTCAACCTCAAGAAATTTTAATTGTATTCACACAATCCCCGTGACCATTAATGTAACCTGTACCCTATTGCAGTATGCCCCACCCTATGTTTTTAGAGTTAACGATTTCCAAAAATATGTGAAGGTGTTCAGTCAGCAAATGTGGTATAAGACTAACCCTAAAAGGGATATATATGGAAATCGATGGACCATAATCAATGCCACCCTGGGAACCATAAGATTTATGTTACCCTTGTCTAGTTTCCAAATTACTTCTAAATATTATAACTGTTCAAGGGGGGCTGCTCTCTGAATAGCTCAACTACGGGCATGGGCTTTCCCCAAACGAAAAAGAAATTTGACTGGACATCTGTGGGATGGAGCTAATGGTGTAGCTACAATTTGGAATATCTATAAAAACCAACAGCATGCAGAAAAATTGGGCCAATTAGAAAAGGCCGCAGGACTTATTACAGGGGCACAACTAACCCAGGTGCAAGCCGGGGTAGGTGAATTACATGTCATTTCCGCCCTTGGTTCTTTAACCCAGAGACTTCTGGCAGAGATGGTATGGAACATCACTGGTGCTGGGGAGGCATTGCGGTGGGACACAGCATGTTCAGAGAGCCAGGATTTTCTGAATGATCAATTAGCAACCATTCGAAGTGACCTCGAACACCAGGCCTGGCCCACTGCCCTCACAGACACCTCAGGAGTACCATCTGATCTGTGGCCATGGAGACATACCTGGAGGTTTTCAGGATGGAGATGTGTACAGTCCCAATGATCCTTAAAGGGATGTGGGCACCCACTTACCGAATCCTGCCTGGTCCATGGGGAGGATGCATCTGGGACTGGGTGATTCACCGAGATATATGGGAAATAAAACCACCTGGTTTACCTAGCCGATTTATAGTCGGTGCCCCTGAAATAACACCCAATATTTTGATTGGATTGGGAAATCAATAGACACTCTGGCCATCGGAACCCCCACAGCTTCAATGCATGCGTAAACTTAAACCAGGGGAAATAGTCACTGTTCATGACAATGTTTGCTGGGAGGGTAAGGGATTGGGGACCCTCTTAACAGGAGAAATAATTTTCCAGGCCAATGACAGCTGTGTGATTGTCAAAGCCCATATCATGCACAACACCCATTGTAACCTCTCCACGGACGCCAGTAGCCAGATCATTTACTGGCCGGCGGATAAAATATTTCAATCTCCTCTCTGGGATTAGATGCCCTTTAACTGGACTTCTCTAATACCCGACCGTTTCCAAAATTTGCTTTTATTGTTGCCCAAGATTAAAAAAAATTCTGATTTACAAGAAATAATTCATATCCTCGAAAACGTGTATCAAATAGAAAAAGGTGCCTTTCAGACCGCCTATCGATTGTCTTCTTTGTGTACTAGTCAAGATATGCTGTGTGTAGTGACCAAAATTATATATGAACCACACCATGTTGCTGTTATAAGTGGATTGATTATTGTATTAGGATTGTTTGCTTTAGGATTATGTTTTTGTTATTGCTGTGGCAAAGGATATTGCTGTGCCTGTAATTTTTCTGCTAAGCCTACTGCGAGAGAGCAGGTAGCCTTAATGATTGTTAATGAGGTTTATGATAAAAGTTGGGATGAGATAAGAGAAAAGGAAAAGACAGAAATTAGAGGGCTCATGAATGTGGAAGTTTAGGCCAAGGGTGGCGCTGGAAGCGCCAAAGGGGGAAATTGTGGAGGAAAAAGTTTGCTAGGGCCTAAACTTTAGTTGGCTCGGGCCTGAACTTTGGTTCAGACCTGAACATTAGTTAAGTCTATTGTAGGTGAAAGGTTTTTAGAGGCAGAATAGAGGAAAAGTACGAAAGCAGAACTATCTATAATTATAAGGCCTATGATTCATAGTGCTGCATTGACGGTTTTGGGGAAGTCTGGAAATCGCAGTAGGATAGACTGTGAAAAACAGGAAAGCTTAGAAACCGCAATAAGGCAGACTGTGAAAAACAGGAAAGCTTGCTAAGCTATATTCCTTTTATGGAGAGTGTATTCCAAATATGGCAATAATGCTGATAAGAAAGTATGTATTATATAATTGTGGTTTTATGCTATATATGCTGTGCAAAATTCTGTAATCAGGGGGATTGCTAGTTTACTGGTACCCCCCATGCATGCATGAAAATAAAAAGGCCTCAGGCGATTCTGATCCAAACACAACGCGTGGTCATTTTTCCACAACAAGAGTGTTGTTAAATAGACATTTGAAATTAAGAATAACAAAAGTTCCTTGGGAGAAATATTTCTGGGGGGAAGAGTCTTTCATCCAAATCTTTCATTTGCAAACTATGGATTAAATCTACTTTACATTATGTTTCCTATGTGTTTGTAAAACTGGGTGGCTTCAGCACCCAACCTGGCAGGCCTGATCTTCTTAGGGTATGTCTACACTACGAAATTAGTTCGAATTTATAGAAGCCGGTTTTATAGAAATCGGTTGTATACAGCCGATTGTGTGTGTCCCCACAAAAAATGCTCTAAGTGCTCTAGTCGGCGGACCGCCTCCACAGTACCGAGGCTAGCGTCGACTTCCAGAGCATTGCACTATGGGTAGCTATCCCACAGCTATCCCACAGTTCCCGCAGTCTCCGCCGCCCATTGGAATTCTGGGTTGAGATCCCAATGCCCGGATGATGCAAAACAGTGTCGCGGGAGGTTCTGGGTACATGTCGTCAGGCCCCTCCCCCTCCGTCACAGCAACGGCAGACAATAGATTCACGCCTTTTTTCCTGGGTTACCTGTGCAGACAACATACCATGGCAAGCATGGAGCCCGCTCAGCTCACCGTCACCATATGTCATCTGGGTGCCGGCAGATGTGGGACTGCATTGGTACACAGCAGCAGCAGCTAACTGCCTTTTGGCGGAAGACGGTGCAGTAGACTGGTAGCCTTCATCGGCGATCTGGGTGCTGGCAGCTGTGGGGCTGGCAGCCGTAGGGCTGCATTGCACCAGCCCCTTGCCTTTTGCCTTTTGGCAGTAGAT